ATTTCCGATGGTGGAATCGTGTCTCACAGAGGATGTTTTAAAGGCGTGGCAAAGGAGTTCGCTCTTTAACCAGCCTGAAGGAACTGATCTTTCTCGCCTTACCAACTTAATGAAATTTTTAAAGTCTGAAGTGGAGGGTGAGGAGAGATTAAAATTGGCGCGTAATGGACTCGATGGTGTTAGTCGTAAAGAAGGATATCATGATAAAGCAAAGAGGGAAACAAAAGGTAAATTTAAATTTAAGAAACAGGGAAATGTTCCCACTGCCACAGGTTTTCTTACAACCAGAGAACATGCATGTATTTTTTGTGGTAAAATGCATGATAGTAAAAATTGTTACGATGCGCGTTCATTATCTCTTAATGAAAGGATTTCTAAAGTTAAGGAGAAAAAATGCTGTTTAAAATGCTTGGAACCAAATCATATGGCAAAGTTCTGTAAACAGTTTGTTAGGTGTTTTGCTTGTGGTAAATCACACTCAGTTATTTTGTGTCCGGACATTAATAATGAAACTGAACTTCCTACAGAAAAATCAGAAATAGACAACATACATACGGCTACAGCCAGGCAAACTTGTACCGCTGACGTAGCTTTTAATGACTTTACGCGTAAGAGTAGCTGGGTGTCAAAAAGCATAAAGATGTTAGAGTACTCTTAGATTGTGGTTCCCAGAAATCGTATATTTTGAAATCATTAGCCACTGAATTGGGGTTACCAATTATTTCCAAAGAAAATGTTGCTCTTACTTTATTTGGAGGTGCCAGAACAGAGGCAAAGATGCATAACAAATATTTGGTAAAATTATGTTCAGCCAGTCCGCGTAAGTATTCAGATCTAGAATTTGAATTTTTAGATCAAGACATAATATGTGGGGATATACCTCGGGTACCCAAGGGTCCAATATTAAAAGAATTAAAACGAAACAACATTTGGTTGTCGGATCTGGGAGCAGATTGTCCAAAAATAGAAATGCTCATCGGTAGTGATATTTATGGAAAAATTCTCACGGGATCAGTAAAACAATTAAAAGGAGGACTAACAGCAGTTTGTACAAAACTTGGTTGGACAGTTTGTGGTGTATCGGAGGAATTTGTTAATCACAAAGATAAAGATGCTTCCATTTTGTGTGCAAGTTTAGTGGGTCACGACTTTAAAAATCTCCGATCTTTGGAGTTTAGAAACGATCGGAATATTAGATGCTCACCAGAATTCAACTAACGCTGCTGAGGAAGAAATTGCCCACGAACAATTTTTAAACTCTCTTTCCAGAAACGAAGATGGTCGTTATTGTGTCGGATTACCTTGGTTAGTATATAACGCAGAATTGCCATCAAATCGTCATGTAGCAGAAAAAAGATTGTTCAGTGTCACCCGAAAACTCAAGTCTTTACATAAATATGAAGAATATGATAGAATTTTTAATGAATGGATGGAGGAGGGTGTAATTGAAATAGTACCAGACAATGAACTGAATTATAAAGGGCACTACTTACCGCATCACCCAGTATTTAAACCAGACAGTGTCTCAACTAAGATAAGACCTGTTTTTGACGCATCATGTAAAGTTAATAGATCGCCCTCCCTTAATGATTATTAGTAAAAGGACCAAATTTAATAGAAGAAATCCCTTCAATTTTGTTAAGATTTAGAGAAAAATGCATTGGCGTAACCTCTGATATCCGGCGTGCATTTTTACAGATTGAATTACGGAAAGAAGATAGGGACTTTTTAAGATTTTTATGGTGGGAGAAAGATAATGTACTGAAGGTTTTCCGCCATACGAGAGGTAGTTTTTGGGAGTAAAGTCTAGCCCTTTTCTATTAGGAGCGGTTATTTCAGTTCATTTGGCACAAGTACCAAAGGAACAAAGTTCTATTGCTCAGAAATTAAATAAATCCTTTTATATTGATAATTGTGTGACTTCTGTTGATAACGAAAAAGGAGCTTGTGAATTTTGTGAAATCTTCTACTGAAATATTAGCTGAAGCAAAAATGGACTTACGTATGTGGACCTATGGCCCAGTAGAAAAAGATGTGGAACTAACCCAAAGTACTTTGTGCACTGAGTCCACAATGGAGAATTCTGTACCAGTTTTAGGAATTATGTGGGACAGAATAGAAGATAACCTTTATATTGAAATTAAGACTGTATTGGTTTCGGATAATTTGTCTAAAAGAGAGGTTTTGTCAGTAACGCAGACAAGTTTGATCCTTTGGGTTTCTTGACACCTGTTTTATTGCCTGCAAAGTTACTGCTACAGGAAATTTGGGCGATAAAAGCAGACTGGGATACTCCATTACCAGATAGTATCAAAAGTAAATTTTCGAGGTGGTATAATAAATTACAAATTTTGAATAAGTTGAGAATACCGCGACGTATAGGTTTTGGAGATAGAAGTTCCTGGACACTTCATGTATTTTGTGATGCTAGCCAGCATGCTTATGCCACGGTAATATTTTTGAGATGCGAAACTAAAGAAGAAACATTAGTCAGTTTTGTAATGGCTAAGTCAAGAGTCGCACCCTTAAAAGAACTTACTATTCCCCGTCTAGAACTTATGGCCTGTCTTTTGGGCGTGCGTCTTTCCAAATATGTGACAGAAGCTCTTACATTGGATGACATCCCGAAATATTTTTGGACCGATTCCACCACGGCCATATCTTGGATTCAAAGAAAATGATGCGTGGGGGACTTTTGTGGGCAATCGCGTGAAGGAAATTTGCGCTTTCACTAAAGCAAATCAGTGGTCATATGTACAGGGTCATTCTAACCCAGCTGATTTACCTTCTCGTGGTTGTTCCCCCTCTTCAGTTTTTCGAATTAAATTGGTGGAGAGGGCCTGTTTGGCTCAAAGACCCTAGAGATAGCTGGCCAAAATTAGAGGTTAAGCCAAATGAAACTTTAGTTTTTTCAGAGCGCAGGAAAGGCATAAATTTAAATGTAAATTTTAGTATAACTACAAAAGCGGATAAAGTTAAGTGGTGTGAGAAGTTCTCTAAATTTTCAAAAATGTTAAGAGTTTTAGGTTGGATAAAGAGATTTATCAAAAATTGTCAAAAGAAAATTGTAAATAAAGAGCCTTTTCTGTCTGCTTCCGAGATAAAGGAATCTAAAATTATACTTCTTTCACTTGTTCAGGGGGAGAGTTTTCCAGAGACTGGAGACTCCATCAATGGTCTTTTGACCGTACGAGATCAGAGTGGCTTAAGAAGAGTAAAAACGAAAATCACCGAACGAGATGATTCTTATGCATTCCGGTACCCGATTTTATTACCTTCTAAGCATTATATTGTTGACTGTTTAATTAGAGATTACCATTTAAAGCATTCATTCTCATGCCGGCGTACAAGCATTAACTGTTATAATTAGAGAAGAATTCTGGATCATTGGTGCAAGACGCCGAATTAGATCGGTGGTGAAACAGTGCGTCCGTTGTAAACGATTTTCAGCAAAACCTCCAACTACTGCACCCATTCAATTACCATTAGACAGAGTTCGAGATGCGTTTCGCATTTGAAGTTACCGGCATAGATTTATGTGGCCCTCTGATTCTCAAAAATAAAAACAAAGCCTGGGTAGTACTGTTTACATGTGCTGTATATAGATGTGTACATTTGGAACTAGTGACATCCATAAGTACCGAATGCTTCATTCAAGCGTTTCGTCGGTTCATAGCCAGAAGAGGTCGGCCATCTACAGTTTATTCAGACAACGGCACAAAATTTCGTCGGTACATCTGCATTGCTGAAAAAAGGTTGACTGGGTAAAGGTAATTGCTCAGGAAACTTTGCATCCCATCACTTGGAAGTTCATTCCGCCCACTGCTGCTTGGTGGGGCGGATGGTGGGAGCGTCTAATCCGCACAGCCAAGAATTTGATTGTGAGAGTCTTAGGACAAGCTGCAGTCAATTACGAAGAGTTACTCACCGTCATCTGTGATGTGGAAGCCGTAATAAACTGTCGACCACTAACTTATGTGTCAAATGACTCTGAGGATCTTCTACCATTAACGCCTTCCATGTTCTTACAGGACATTAAGGTTTCAGGTACAGCAGATTTGGAATGCTTTAGATCGAAATAAACTCTTGGCTCGTCAGCGTTTCTGCCAGGAACTTCGAGAACAATTTCGTAGCCGTTTCCGCAAGGAGTACCTTGGACAGTTAGTACAAAAGCATGGACAGACGGACTGTGAATTAAAAGTTGGAGACATCGTGCTAATAGGTTGTGAGAACCTTAAAAGAGTGAACTGGCCAATTGCTCGTGTCCAAGAACTTTGTACAAGCAGAGATGGACGTGTAAGAGTTGTAAAAGTGAAAACTAGAAATGGCATACTGATTCGTCCTGTACGTAAACTGTACCCTCTAGAAGTGTGTTCCTGTACTAAGGATACCATTATTTGATTTTTGATTTTCCTTCTGAAAATCAAAAAGGTGGGAGTGTTGTGAAACTGATTAGCTGTATCTAACAAATATTAAAAACAAATCTCTTCATTTTGATGTACGAGACACAGATGGCGTTGGCTGTCATTGAAGTAGGAAGAAAAAAAGGGTTTCTCCTTTCGACTTCGTGACGTGAACTGATTAAGTGTGTAATAACTTTCGGGGCCAGAAAAATTTCCCGACAATTGTTAAAAAAAATGTATATATTTTGTAGTATAGAGAGAATATAATTAAATAAATCAACATATTAGAGTTTTTATTACAGATTCAACATCACACTACCCAGGTAAGTGAGCAAGTTTTGTCTTTAGTTTTTCTGGATTGCTCGGTATCTGGGATGAGTGAAGGAAGTATTTTTATTTTAATGATATTTAATGATAAGACTATGTTTTAGTAATAACAAAAATTATCTTTACATTTTGCGGAAATATATTCTAAACTATTTGCCATTTATCTTCCAAATTATAACGTTATAATTTTATTTGACTTAAATTTGTTTATTGTTTATTGATTTACTATTGTACTTATTGTATGACTGATTTTAGTATTTTAATATTCAGGTACTCAACATTAATCGGGACCATGAAACGAAAATTTACTTCTAAAAGAAAGTGGACTGCCGAAAATGATGGAGATGATGATGTTCTATGCTGTACACCTTTACATACGAGTAACAGAACATGGAATGTACAAACCTCAAAATTCAGGAAACCTCCTGAGGACTTTTAAATAAAATATTTTAATTAAATCAACATTTTGGTCATCTGTGGTAATGAACATCTAATGAAAGGCATGTGCACCTTAAAATATCTCAATATTAGGTGTTTATCCTATACATAGGATTGCTCTTTGATAATGGAAAATGGAAGTTTGAATAAGAACAAAGTAATGAAGACTCGTTTAGACTGAGTGAATGATAATCTTTTCCATTCTTATTTTGTAGTGTGAACATGAAATGGAAGCAAATACTTCCATTTCATTGTGGACACTAAAGTTGGGCAAGGTAACTAAAATATAGAACTGTGGTCCAAGAAACATTTTGGCAGGTGAAGTGCAATAGTTTGACTGTTGAACAAGACTAAGCAGCTATTTCACATTTATAATTTTGATACCAAATAAGTTTATGGAAAAAATGAAATTCTTTTAGCAGTTTTAGCCTTTACTTGCTGCAAAGCAAACAGAAAGTCTAAGACAGATGAGCAGATGCATTGTTTCTTTGAATTCATTAGAAAATTATTTATTATCACTAGTATTTTCTGTAAGCCCTTTCAAAAATTATTAAAACCATATTTATTATAGCTATTCTTCATATTCTCTTGGAATGTGTAGCATATTCAACATTTATCTTCACATCAAAATTAAAGAAATGTACAAATTACAAGTTATTCTTAGTTTCCATTGGCTAGAAATTATGATTTAACTAGATTTTGAAATTTTTTTTTTTTTTTTTTTTTTTTTTTTTTTTTTTTTTTAATCTAATATACCAGTTTTCAGTTTTAAACATTGTGCCTTGATAGTGTAAATAGAAAAATAAAGTTTGTGGAGTGGGCCAAGATCAATTGATAGTTTCATTTTATATGCTATTTCTTCAGAACATGTAAAGAACTCTAAAAACTTATTTTTAGATAATTTACAATTGGATTTTAAAATCTTATCAAAATTGATATGTTTCAGTTATTCAAATAATTACTTTCGCCAACATTTTTTTATTTATATTTTATCGAATTATGTGTCTCTTTTGCTACTGCTTTAATGTTTTTCTATCACCAAGCCTTTTTCTTTTTGAAGGGGGAGAACATATAAGATAAAAGATATGTAACTATAAATTGTATTTTAAATTAGCAATAGCCCCATAATTCCTCTTTTTAATTTGGTAATCTCCCTTTCTATTCTAAAAATAGTAATAACTTTTTTGAAACTATATCATATCTGAAAACTAATTCCGCATATTATCATCTTAGCCTTCTGCATTGTGTATATATAGTTCTTGTCCAGTCTGATTAAAGAAAATTTTTACCATAAATACCGCTGCAACCAACTACACATCTTTGTTTTGCCCTTTTTTCCCCTTCTTTGCTCTCACTACCATGTCACTACTTGTGTTGCTGTCATCCATTGTCTAAAGATGGGCTAATCTTTCAAAATTGTGGGTTGCATATTGCACCCATAATCATGTGTGAAGCAATATTGTGTCTCTAGAATTGTTTTATCAAATAATAAAATTATGTTGACTCTGGCCACATCTGTCTGCAATCCATCTATTCCATAAACCATTGCAAGTCCACTACAGTTTTTTCAAGTCATCATATTGCATATATTTTGTTCTCTGCATACAGGTTCATAATAGATTGAATATACTCAGAACCGATAATAGCTTAATAAAATTTATTTTGCCGAAAGAAACACTTATAGTTCTGGAACTTTCCACAAAAATATTCAGACAGCTCTTCTCAGTATTGCAGAGCACAATTAATTGTTACCATTCAAACTTCTAAGAATGTTAAACACAGCACAGTACAACAGACATCTGAAAGGCAAAGCTGTCACGATATCTCAATGCTCTGAATTCAGCTGTGAACTAACTGCTTTGAGAAATTAATGTTGTCTCTCATTTTGTATAGTTTTTCCTCAACCGCCGAGAAATCTCTACTACCTTCCTGTTCTCGAAACCAATGGCAGGTATACGAGAGCAGTTACAATTACATAGAGGATCAATTACAATAGCCATTGCAGTGTAGTTACTGCTATGTTTTCCCACCGGCATAAATTTGCATAATGCAAAGGACATAAAACTGAATTTGCTCGTATTCAGCTTTTTTGTCCGCAACGTTAATTAACAGCCTGTGATATCTGGCGACTGTTTGACAATCAACAGAGCGTGCTTGGCGCATGTAGCTCTTCTCCAAGAAGGGTTAATGTATTTTAAGAGAGTTGCATGTTAGCCTCGGAAGAGGAAGGTTGTAGATTGCACTGTGTTGCTGTGTAGGAGCGACGTACTGCTCCGAGTTCACCATTATGCTTTGAACCATATTTTTAATAAATGTTCGTTTCGTCTTGTTTAATGGTGCCTTATTGAACCACGAAGTCGTTACAACACGCTGTCTTACGAGATCACCAGAAAGGTTAGAAGCTTAGAGCGTTGAAAACGGAATTTCGTAAAGTTAAGCCTAACTCGCGAAAAAAGTGCTCATTTGGAAAAGGGAGTAAAAACATGAGAGTTATTTAATCGAGAGTTCAAAAAGTTTGATTCTAAAGGAAAATAGAAGAAAATGTTCAAAAACACAAAGAAAGAGGATTTAGTAACAGTTCTATTGGAAATTGGCGGAGAAGCATCCCCAGATTTGAAGCTGGTAGAACTGAAACACAAACTCCAGAATATCGAGCAACTCAAAATGAAGGAAGTAGAAGTCTGACACCTTCAATCCAAAACACAGAACGAGAAACCGAAATTTCCCTCGACAAGCTGATCAAAGGAGTAAAAACACTGACTATACCAGTACCGAAGAGAGCAGAAGCATGGAATATATTTTTCGATTCTATCTTAAGAGCATACACAAGAAGGTTCCCGAAGAATACAAATCGGAAATATTATTGAAATTATTTGGAGAAAAAGCTTCAAATGTTCTTGTTTATATAAAGGAGGAAGATCTGCAAAATTACGAAAAAGTGAAAGCTTTTGTTCTGAAGGAATTACGACTCTTCAAACCTGTTTAGAAAACTTCAGAAGAACCAAACATCTTATTCCGGCGAAGGAATACCAACCTAACAACTCCTCAAATCTGGGGCTATTACTGAAAACTTCAGAAGAAGTAAAGGATTTCGTTGTTCCGGCGAAACACTAATTATTTCGGATAAATTATTCCAAGCTTTAGATGAAGAAACAACTGCACACGTCGCAATACGCCAAGGAAATAAATGGCTGAAGCCTTAAGAATTAGCTACAGAATGTGATATTTATTTCAGGGCCAAAGGAAAATCTTTCGACGAAGTTCGAAATGGAATTAAACGAGCACCGAGATTCCTGGATACAACATGTACACAAGATAAATAAACAAAGGATCTAACACGAGAAGAAAAGAATGTTATATTTGTGGAAACTATCAACACATCGCAAGAGACTGCCCAGACAAAAGAAGAAAAACGAAACTACAGTAAATAAGAAGGGAAAGGATGATTCCAAAACTCAAAAAAATTCAAACAGAACATCAAAAGAAGAAGCCATCGTAGCTAAAGTAGACTCATCCCATCTACGTTCCGAATTCGCAGAACGCATCGTTCAACCACTGCAAAAAGTAGATGTTTTTATTAACTCTGAGAAAATCGAAGCTATCGTAGACTCTGAAACGCAGATAACGATCGTACATTCATCGCTCATTCCAGATTTAGAGGAGAGAGAAGAAAGTAAAATATTGCTAACACCTGCTTTCGGACAACGAATTGAAGCAAAAGTTTGCCGTGTACCTATTTACCATAAAGATCATGGAAGCAATGTACTTAATTTTGTGGATACATTAATTGCAGTGACTGATAAGCTAAATGTGCCTTGCCTAATAACACCAGAAATACACGAACTGCTGATTAATCCTGCGGCAGAAGAATCAAAGAAAGAATTCAGAAAGAAATAATTGCGGAAGTGAATACGTGCAAAGTTTATTCGCTAATGCACAGTCAAACGACAGCGTCGAGTCCCCCCCCCCGCTAATGCTTATGGAGAAGAAAAACGAAGGGAAGAAGGCGAGTGCTTACGTAAACACAGACTCGTCGTCTGCTGAACGCCTACGCGAAGAGCAAGCTAACTGTCCCTCGCTGAGAGAAGCATGGAAGCTAGCTGTAGAAAAAAAAAAGGAAATTATTTATTTATTGATCATCTTTTACATCACTAAGAAAAAATATTAGGACAGACTGTTTTTCAGTTAGTGCTTCCGCTTAGTAGAAGAGCACAAGTGTTGGAATTAGCACATAGTTCCATTTTCGGTGCACATCTTGGAATAAGGAAAACAAAGGAGAGAATACGATATTAATTTTTTGGCCTGGATTAGCACAAGATGTTGAAAACCTTTTGTAAAACGTGCAAAGATTGTCAGTTGAAAAGTCCAGAAAAGCGATTTGACAAGATTCCCATCACACTGGTCAGAAGGCCAGAATAACCTTTCGAAATAGTTAACATCGACGTTTGGACCTATTGAAACTCCCTCTGCTATGAAACATAAATACGTGTTATGCCTGGTAGATCAACATTCCCGATGGCCAGAAGCCATTCTACCGAGAAGCTTGACAGCAAAAGCCACTTACGACACGCACTTTTTGAGATTTTCATGAGAACAAGAATCCCTAATACAATAGCTAGAGACAACGGAAGTAACTTCGTTTCAAAATTAACTAAAGAATTCCAGAAAAGACTAGGTTCTCACCCTAGGTTCTCTACACCTGCTTACAGTGCTTCAAATGGATTAGTAGAAAGATGGAACAAGTCCTTCAAGCAAATGTTACATCATGTCATCAGGACTGATCCTTCGAATTGGGATAAGCACATCCCATACTTGCTCTTTGCATACAGAAAGCATACAGAGAAGTACCAAACTGCACCACGGGTGTCTCACCATTTCAGCTGATGTACGGAAGACAACCAAGAGGTCCTTTAGCAGTACTGAAGTCTTCATGATCAGGAGAACCTATACCACCTAATCTAAGTGAATCGGCAGTGGATTACTTACAGCATTTAGAAATAAGGTTAGAATAAGCAGCTGAACAAGCCAATTTAATTGCAAGTGATAAACAACAAAAATATGCTGACTACTTTAATCGGAGAGCAAGTTTATTTACTCATACCAGATTCAAATAAAAACTATGCACGATGGACTGGACCAGTAGAAATCGTGAATCATTCCCCACCGCATTCCTAAAGACTAAAACTACCTGATGGAAAGATCAAACATGTTCATGCAAATAAAATTAGAAAATTCCAAGCTAGCGTCAGTGCAGTTGGAGTGATATTTGAAAATGAAGAAGAATTTGGAGAAATTATAACTTTGCCAGGAAAAGATCTCTCGACCCCCCTGGAAGATTTTAAAATAGATGCAAATCTGAATTTAGAAAATTTGAATCCGCAGCAGAGAAGAAAATTGATAGCTCTTATCAACAAACACCGAGCACTATTCACCGGAAAGCTGAAAATAGCTAAAGTTGAAGCTCATA